AATTTCAGTTATGTGCTTCTTGTGGTTTTATTGAATTCTAATAAATGAACATTGAGAACACAGCTCAATGAACTAAACATATCTGCATGGCTACCATTTCAGCCAAAATAGAATATGACTTCTGATGGCTTCTGATGAACCCAGGACATATCAGCAAGGGTGGAACCTCTCAGGTGGTTTTCTTAGGGAACCTTCGTGAAGAGGGAATTTGGCTCCTTGTCAGACCCAGAGGCTCTTTCCAATCTTTCAATCTGTTTTTTTTTTTTTTTTTTTTTTTCCCAAAGAGATTGATTTTATCCATCTGGAAAGTCCAGAAGCACTGGTGGCCTCATGTCTGTCATGGACCCTTCCCATGCCCTTTCATTTGGGGATGTGTGGTTTCCTGGGTAAGACACTTCAGATGAGAATTTAAACTCGGTTTGTATCTTGGCTAGGGTTCCTAGCTATTCTACATGTTGCTGCTTTATAGATATTGTAGAAAGACGGGCTTGGGTAGGCAACTGTGTTTTTATATGTTTCTAACAATCAAAGGAAAGATAAATGCGTTTGCTATGAAGAATACCTTTTTTGCAAGTGCCCTGGTGGTTCTTCCCTTTTCCTTGGGTGCAGCTATTAGTTTGTTCTGGAGTCAGACAAGTCTTTACTTCTTGGTTGTTATCGCCAGCATCAGAGCAGGTTTAAGGCCATGTCTAGTTCTCCATACTGTGAGCAGTCTGTGTACATTGCCGACTTTGCCTCAGCCTGGGCTCTGTGAGAGGCCCATTACAGCATGGCAGATCCCCAGTGTCTCCAGGCGAATTAGAACACTACCAGAGCTTGGAGCTTTGACTCAAATTCTCCGTGTCCCTCTGCTGGTTTTAGTATGTATCCTCTCCATAATGCCATGCCTCCCAGACAATCCCCAGTTCAACTCTGTTAGAATCTATAGGCACATTAGTTCCCAGGGGCAGCCATAGATGCTCTATTTTTCCTTGGGTGAAAGCCTCACCAGTACCAGGAAGTCAGGAACCCTTCAGGGTAAAGATTCTGAGAAAGAGTTTTCGAGTGATTACTGACTGGTCAATGAATCTGCAATGCCTAAGGCTTAGCTGTGCTGCCTCCTGGTGGAAAACGTGATTCTTGCAAGTCCTGAAGGGTAGGTAACAGTCCCCCTTTAATATCTGACAAATGAATTTCAAAAGTCTCTGTGCCATTGTATTTATGAGTACATATTATAGTGTGTTTTCAATGAATATTATCTCAGTACCAGACACATTTGTACATATATACTCTATGATAAATAACAGAATTCTGATAAATGTTTCTTCTTTTAAGAGCGATGTTAAGCATTCTGGATAGAGGGTTCTGCAAGAACACAGTACAAAAAGGAATCAGAAGCAGGCAGCTAGAAGTGAGTGGGCCATCTGACGGCCAATCTCCAAGCCACAGAGTCAATATGAGATTGGTGTGTTTCCTTTTATCCCCAAAGTGAGGGTGACCTTTACACAGTACTTATACCTGTGCAGGTCCTAAAGGTACCCTGTTGGCCACTTTTATGGAGGAAGTGTCCATCTGGAGCTGTGGCACCTCCACAAGCCTCCTTTCTCTGAAGGCCTGTGTCTCCACTGTTACCTGGCCTTTATGCTCAGACATAACTGATGGGATGTCTTCTCCCTGCCATGGATGAGACACATCTTCCAGAGATGCATGAGCTTTCCCATGCCTATCTTTTGGCTTTCCTCTCTTGGCCTTTTTCTCATAGCTTACAGTTATTCTCGTTTTTCCTGTTCTTAGCAAATTCATTCATTAAAATTCCTGTGAAACTGCATACATGATTTCTACATCTCAGTTGAACCCACCACATAGATACTTATAACCATAACTCTTTTTTTCTTTTAAACACTGCTTGGCCCATTAGTTCCAGCCTCTTATTGGCTATCTCTTACATATTAGTCTAACCCATTTCTAATAATCTGTGTAGCCCACGAGGTGGCTTACCAGGGAAGATCTTAACCTGCATCTGTCTGGAGTGGGAGAATCATGGCGACTCCTAGACTCAGCTTCTTTCTCCCAGCCTTCTGTTCTGTCTACTCCGCCTACCTAATTTTCTGTTTTATGAGGGCCAAGGCAGTTTCTTTATTAGTTAGCCATTGAAAGCAACAGATAAGATACAAGACCCACCTCCATCATTTTCCCTTTTTCTGTTTAAACAAAAGAGAAAGGCTTTAACTTTAACATAGTAAAATTACATATAACAAAACAGTTATCAAGTAAGAATTACAGTGACAATATTTATATCTATTTTATCTCTTATCATAACTAAGGAAAACTATAACTATTCATTCTTCAACTCCATCAAAGACTCCAGAAGGATATAATAATACCTAAGTAAACAGGAAGTCCAAAACTCTAGAAATAACAGAGACATCTCGCTGCCTAGACAGTCACCAAAGTTCCTCTGTACCGTTGGGGCATCCACCTTCAGCCTACAGGCCCATAGTATCCAGCAGACATTTTCATGAAGCAGGAAAATTCAAAGACAGTTCAGTCACTTTCTGCTATGTCCTGCAGAATGTCTCGCAGACTCTTTCATGAATCAGGAACCCCAAAAGACCATCTCATCTTTTTAGGCAAGTTCAGCAGTCCTCTCTCTGTGGGTTCTCTGTGTCCAGTTTATGCAACAGTCCAGGCAAGAGCAGTTTCTTGCCCAAATGATTATCCAACTCCATAAGGATCCTCTTTGACGCCCATCTTCCTCTCGAAGTAGCTGGTGCTGCCAGGAGCAGACGTGTCTCATTGTCATGAAAAGCCCTAAGTTATTAAAACATTTAAATGCCATATTCTGCAGTCTTTGATAGATATGAAGAATGTCTATCTAATTGAAATATATCTCTATATATCTAGAAAATCTAACATGACTACAAGCTTGACTATTGTTGATGATTATTCATTAACAACCTATATTTCTAATTATACATTACATTTTTATGGGTTTTTTTTTTTGAGACAGGGTTTCTCTGTGGCTTTGGGAGCCTGTCCTGGCACTAGCTCTGTAGACCAGGCTGGTCTCGAACTCACAGAGATCTGCCTGCCTCTGCCTCCCGAGTGCTGGGATTAAAGGCGTGCGCCACCATCGCCCGGCAACATTACATTTTTAAATGAACTATGCAATCACAATACCTTAATCAATATTAGAAACACATATACATACAACAAAATTGACCTTAAAATCCATACTAATGTAAATTATTCATATCTATATCAAAGAAGTATCTATATTTACCCCTAACTTTTGCTATTGCTTATCAATTTATAAACTAGATTCACTTAATAAATACCGATTTGTTCTATTAGCAGAAACTAACATATTTACCATCTTGAATGCAGTGGATTTCTCCCTAATGTATTCTTATACAAAGCAGATAACCATAACTCTTAAAACTCTAGTGCAAGAGTTTGGTAGGTCCTATATTTAAATTCAAGTTATTTCATTAACTTACAACTTTTAGTAAAATTTAAATTTATTGAAAATACTTTATATCATGCAACATTTTACAATTTAGAAGCAATTTTTTATTGCATTATCTCATTTGATCTTCAAGATAAATCAATGCAGTATACATTTTTGTTGTGGATGTTGTTTCTATTCTATTCTAAGTCAAAGTGCCACCCTGTTTGGAAATGGGTGCGAGCTCACTACTGCCCTCTAGTGGTTATTATACTTAATGTTTTCTAAACAGCATTGCTGGCCCCCTAGGGCCTACTGAAGGTCTAGCTCCTTACAGCCACTTTCATCCCCAAATAAACTCTGCATAAGACTGAAGTTCGACCAAAATGATCCAGAGGAAATATTTCTAGTTTTTCCATCTTTCAGTTCTTTTGTTTTCTATTATACTGTACTTAAAATTATTAGAGTAAAACCTGTGTAGAATTATTAAGAACTAAAGATTCTTAATGAGAGGAATTAGATTTTATTTTCTGGAAAATTGGTTTCTGAAATTTTTTATGCATATCATTTTAAGTTTTAATTCTTAATAATATAAGAAAATGTAAACAAAGTATTTTGACATTAAAGTTGATAAAGAATTTTCTCTGCGACACATCAGAGGTGAATAAATTTGTTTAGGAACAATGGAATACTTAAAATGTTGAGTATATCCCAAGCTTATGGCAATATTAAAAATAAAAGAAATGACACTAAAGAAGGTTCCCTATCCATTAGATAATATACATCAAGCTGACTATTATCCAGAAATTTTGCTTGTAAATTCCTGCCCAAGTTAAAAGTCGTGTGCTCTGGGATCAGATAATCTATAGTGCCTTCCTAGTTTTCTGATTAGGTATCTTATTTTCTCAACTGTCTATTATATGCTAATGAAAAACATGACATCTACAATTTACTGGCCACAATGACACTTACATTCTCTACAAGATTTGTGGCTAAAATTATCACTTATATGGAAATTGTTGACGTGCGTAGAATCTCTCGTATTACCCTCAACAACCTTATGAACCACAGTCTGCCTCAGGATTGAGGCTGAGAAACCAACCCAGAGGTGGATGGGACACCTCTGTGGCTTGCGGGTCACTGTTGGGTTGGAAGGGACAGTGCTTTGAGAACATTTTCCTAAACCCATGACATCTGTCCCCTTGAATAGAAAAGGGAAAGAGACTAAAATGGGTGGGCATCCACACCACGACCTCACGGGTGTCTTTCTACCTGGCTTTGCACAGCTGCTCACTGATTCTGGTTCCTGTGTGGAGATATGTAGTGGGGGCTCAGTTACTAAGAACTATGGATGCCCCTGTGCCCCTGTGCCCACCGAGAGTCTGGGCAGCAGAATGTCCCGCGTGCAGGAGGACTGCTCAGCGACGCTGGGACCTGCAGCAGCAGTGCCGTAGCATTAGGAGTATTAGGCTGTTTGTGTTCTGGAAACATCTTTCAATATCTTCCCTCAAGTTCTGTCCTGTACACAACTCTCCCGACACTCAGGCTCTGGATCTATCTGCAAAGAAATTTCCTGCTTTACTGCTTCATTGTGGAGTCTGATTAAGGAATCAATGCAGATCAATAGAGGTTATACTAGGAAAATCAATAAAGACCAGGAAGCTAAAGGTACCATCATAGACACGCTTTATTTCTGCATACTGACAAAGCGCTGGAAACAGTTGTCTTTCACCATCAGTTCTTCTTGGCCTAGGAGCAGAGCCACTAGGATCCCATTACCCATGCAACTACTTCAGGAGGGGAGGGAGGAAGGCTGAGTGACGAGGAACATCAGTTCAAGGCTGGTCAACTGCAGTTTCCAGAGCTGTGACAACAGCTAGAACATCCTGGGGACTCTTTCTCAGGGCAGTCAGAGTGCCGAGGCTGGCGAAGGTAGAATCGAGGAAACCGGTGAGACACTAAGGAGCACCTGCCTCCGAAGCCGGAAATGCAGCAGGTGGAAACACGGCAGGAGGAGGCTGGGGGGGGCCTGGGAGGGAGGCATGGAGCAGGAGCCCTGGGAGGGAGGCATGGAGCAGGAGCCCGGGGCCCTGGAAGGGGGCACTTGGGTGGACACTTAGGAGAGAGCTGGCACTTCTGCTTCGTTTGCTGGGAGGACATCTTGGTTGAACTTTGATTGTCCTAAAGGGGAAAAATGCAGACATTTTGATAAACTAGTGAATGCACACTGTTTTGCACTGATAATTCTGCACAGACTGAAAAACTGCAACTGAATCTGTGGGTCCGTAGGCTGTGTCATTGCAAGAGAGAGGCCCTGGTTTCCCAACATGGAAGAAGCCCAGCAGTGGGTAAGCCAGAATTAATTAGGTAAGCCTTCTCCTCCCTGCCCTGATTCTCTTAAGACTCTAACCTCAAACGCTTGAAGCACGTGGTGGTTTCTTAAGTTGGTTTTTCTCATATGATCTATGGTACCCATTTACCATCCTTTCCGCCCAAGTGCATCGTGACCTCACCTTGCTCCACAGTCTCTCCCTTTGCTTTGCTTCCCTGTGTCATGGGTTCTGGCTAAGTTCTAACCTTCCGTCCTGTGTGGCTCTCTTGCCCTACAATAGCCTTCTCTCCTCCATGACTTCCCATCATTCCAGCCTCTAGTTAACATTTGGCCTTCCTGGGATGGCAGTTTGATTTGTCTTCATGATTTCATATGCCTGGAATTGCCCATTAGCTCTTGCTCATTCTCCATCCTGGACTGGATTGCCCCATTCAGCTTGGCTGTATCCATGCCACCCATCCCTCAAAAATGTCCATCAGATCAGTAAGAGGACTTACCTTGTTCTCTTAAGACCAGGCAGGCAATGGAACTGAGGAGACCCTGTGAGTAGAAGTCTTTTATACATCTACCGCTCCAGACTCAGAATTAGCCATGGATGATGTGAAAGCTGTTTGCTCATCAGGTGACCATGATGACAGCAACCCACATGCTAGTGGCTGTCATTTTGTTACTGTGTCACTCTGGGTCACCAGCAGCTCCTCAGGAGTATCTTCCTGGGGCATCTCTTCTTTCCATCATATTATATTTCCATAAAGACAATATTTCCATAAAGGCAAGAAGATCATAGTTTACGAGGACATGTACATGAATGAAGCTTGGGGACTAGGCTGAAGCTGTCCTTTCTGGAAGAGTCCAAAGCAAATGGGGTGGCATATCTAAACCCAGAGATGCTGGACCAGCTCAGGGAGCCAAGACAGAATTTTGAAGGTTTCGCCAAGTTTGGAACCAATATTAAAGCACTTGTGACCACTAGGGAAGACTCAGTGGATTTGATTCAGATAGCAAAAATGCCTGAAACATTGAGCAATGAAATATCAGATCCTTCTGGAAAGGGTGTTGGTTACTGCTGCCTGTCCACACAGGCCACAGCACTAGCATCCAGTCTGAATGAAGGAGAAGCTCAAAGTTAGTGTTTCCAAATCCTGACCACAGACTCAGGCATCTTTTCTGTGTTCATGGCCCCTCTTTCCATTTTGCTTGTCTGTATCTACTGTAATCCACCTCCTCCTGCTCAGGAACCTCCTCATTTCCATATGCCACCCCAACCCCATTTGCTTTTCCTATCCCACTCTTTCAAACCCTTCTTTAAACTTTCTTGCCTCTCTAGCTTGTCAGTACACAGCTGACAGAACCTGAGCCTTCAGTAAATTCACCCTACTATGTTTAATTGCTATCAAAATGAAAACAAAAATTAAAAAAAGCATTTTGTCAAGTTGACATTATCATAAAATTGGTTGACCTAAAATGCCATGTCCATTTAGCAGACCCTTTCTCCCCTGAGGCACACAAGGTTGGCTTTTCTGTAGATGAGATGTGAAGTACTTCAGCTTCCAGCTCTGTCTCCAAGACTTACACTTACACCTATCACCTTCCTTGGTAACTTCCTGTGCCACACAGGAGAAGCAGCCCCTTGTCTTTTGTGACACCTTCCCCTTTCTTTTCTTTGAATCTTGAATATGGATTGTTGCATTTCCTCCTGTATGATGCCCTGTAGCATGTTCACCATCCTGTATTCCCATGCTTCCGCTTATTTCCCATCGTTTGTCCTTCTGCCTAGAATGGAATCTCAGCACTGACTATTTATCCCCAGCGCCTGTATAATGCCTGATGTTCAAAAACCTGATGAATATTTTGTGGCTAAGCCAAAGGGTTTCCCTTTTTTTGCTCTTTCAGAGAGAGAGATAGTGTGTGTGTCTCAGAGGCCAGATCAACAGCAAGCATTTGAGGCAGGTTGTGAGAAGCTGCTCCCAAGATAGAGTCACTGCCTTTGGTCAGTAGCAAGAGCACTGCAGGAGTTTGGTTTGGCTATGTTGCTTCCCCTGAGATTTAGAGGTGACTGGACAAATCTTCATGCCTGGGTTTTTATTTATGAATATCAGATTTCTAGAGGACTCTGGCCTCATATTATTTTTTATGATTTGATTTTCTTTCCGAACATTGATCTGAAACAAGAATGGTTATGCATTTGTTGTTAGGGGACAGATTTAATCATGTGCAGATAGAGAATATTTGAAGGGCAGGCACAGAGTGAGGAAGAAACTTCATATTGGTATTTAGTTCATCTCACTTATTAGAGAAAATTATTAGCACCTTGCTTCATTGTGTCAAAGAACAGTACCGTGTGTCTACGTGATCCTTGATGGAGCGAGGGGAGTAATGGGTTACTGTAGCCCATATCTACAGATAAAGACAGACTGTGCTCCTTCTCTGCAACGATCCTTCTACAAATTGCAAGTTGTTTTAAACAATTGGAAAATAATATTCCAGTAGACTGATCTAAGCTATCAACAATAAAAACAAATTTCTTTATATTTATGTATGTATGTATGTATTTATGTATTTATTTATTTAGTTTGTGTGCCCAACCAAAAATGTCTTATAACAGATGGGGATGAACGTGGTCTGCTCTGGAAAGAGAGTGATTATAATATTATTGGGAACAAAAGGAGAAAGCATGAGACTGTGGCTGTGCAGACAGGGAGAAGTGCCATGTGCTGGGCTGTGTGATTTTTCCATGTAGATTCCTGTTTTGCCTTATATCCCTTGAAAGTCAGGAGCCAAAGTTTTCTCACCTCCATCTTCTCTGGCAGCCAGTCCTGCAGACTGTGGGTCTCCCGTCACACCTCTGCATTGCCTGTTGCATCAGCTTCACGGTTTTATAAGAAAGACAAGCTGGAGAAGCATGCACCTTGGAATCAGAAGTTTGGTATTCCAGCCCCTGATATGTCATGTCGCAAACTTTGAACCTTAAAAAAAATAGCCAATCTGTAAAATGAGCTTAAAAATAGGAAACTTAAAAGCTTTTGAACTGTGATGATATGAATAAACTTGATGAGGGAGGTCTCAGAAATATGAGTTCTACTCTAAAATGTCACTCATTCTTTTTTATTACAATTTTTATGTATTTTACATACCAACCACAGTTTCCACCCTCCTTTCCTGGCATTTCCTACCCTCTACCCTTACTTCCTTTCTACCCCCACTCATCCACTCCTCAAAGGGTAAGGCCTCCCCTGGGAGTCAGCAAAGCATGGCACATCAAGTTCTTAATCTTTAGCTATTTGGGTTGTCTGGCAGGAAGAGTCATAGAAGGCAACAATCTGGGTCTTGCACCCGCCTTCTGAGCAATTAATTATACCTTTACCTGATTTACACATGGGATTTAATAGGATCATGATGTTTAGAAACAAGACCAGAGATAACTGGCCATCTCTCACTCCAAGCAAGGGGCGGAGGTAGGGATATGATCAGACTTACATTTCAGAATGGTTGCCAGGGTCTCCATTTGGATGCTTCAAACTGGAGTATGTAGTAAACAGACAGTCTGCAGGCTTGATGTGAGGCAGAGCTAGGCTTGGGGAGAGTTCTTTACTAATAAGCGTGTGGGGAAAGGGATTAATTGTAGGATGCACGGAGAGTCTCTGCTTGGTCAAGGGCCCGCCTCGCCATAGCTGGTGCATTCCCCAACTCCACTCTTATCTGCCTGTGCACTTCCTTACCACCTTGCCTGCCTAAGAACCCAGGAATGTTGTGGATTCCTATCTGGCTTGGGTGTTCCCTCTAATGGAAGGGTGAGGTACCAGCCAGGCCAGCATCTGCATGCATGAGATTCTTATCAGCCTAATCCCTAAGTGATGAAAGAGAAGAAACCAAGGATCATACTTTAGCTTGAGTGGTCGGATCAGTCTTTGAAATTTCTAACCTCCTACAGGCTAGAAGAACAGGAATCACACCTGGGGTTCACTGTGTTTCCCTTTGGCACAAGTAATAGCGATAGACTGTATCCAAAGTCCAGGGTCCATGCGTCTCATAGTGAGTAGAAGGGACAAGATTTATTTGGCATAACCTACCACTTTTATGAAA